ATTTCCTTTTCTATAATTTTTCAAATAAAATGTATATTAATTAAAGCCACAGAAAAAAAAACAAACAGTTTAGGGAATATCAAATGACTTTAATCATTTTACACTATTCAATGTTGCTATTTACTACATTCATACTATTTTCGTATACACTTTGTAAGACTACCAACACAACACACATACACAAAATATTTTATATTAAGTTATTATTAGTAATAACTATACTATCAGTAATAATAAAAATAAAAGTGATATGGTTGAAAATAAGTCTCTTACAAAGAACTTCCTACAATAATACATTATCTCCATCATGGTAACATGCAACAATTCCATTTAATGTTATGGTACCACTAGCTAAATCAAAATGTCACTGTATGACACAAAGGCCCCGGAGCCATGTCAGAAATATACATTTATTGTATGCAAATATATAATAGAGATACAAAAAACTAAAAACTCTCAATTATGTTGGTAGGTACATTATGTTGAGAATGTATTAAGCTAACATGAAACAACTACAGGACGCATGACATTTTCCTAGTGACATAAGACATAACCTAAAAAGGTTCAAATCTAAATATCTTTTTTTGACGCCTTCTCAGGACAAAATTCTTTGACAGAGTTATTAAGGGACTGACGCTTAACATTTTAAGACATTTTTGATATATGGACGTTACCATTCCTTCTCAACTAATTTTATGTATGAAAGTCTGCCATTGTTTGTTTTTTACAAAAGACAATATTTGCCTGAACTGTTAAGTCCAGAGCCGCAACGGAAACTATAACTGGAATTGGCAGGCGCATTTTTCTAATAAAAAATAAAAAAAATAAAAAACTGCAGTTGTGTATCTGCCTGTACAGCGTAGCAAGTATTGCAAATATCCGCCATTTAAGGCAACCATTTAACAGTGGTAGAGCCACATGGCGGCTTTTGCTTAACAGTGGTAGAGCCACGTGGCGGTTTTTGTTGTCGCACGGATGGGCCGGCTCGAACCGGGGTGGTACCACGACCTCACAGAATACCAGCGTGAAGTAGAGGTTTACCTCTGCGTTTCGCTTGGTGAGTGCAGGTGGCCAGAGGCCCTTTTTACTGGAAATGAGGCATTCCATCTTAGTCCTCACGGGTGACAACGCATCTGCATTTTGATTTGTAATAGAGGATAGATGTAGATGTCTATGGGCCGCAGCAACCACTTACCATCAGGTGGACTGTATGCTCGTTTGTCACCCTTATCCTATAAAAAAAAACCTTTGGGGGAGGCCTATGTTCATCAGTGGACTTTAGATGGGCTGTAATGATGATGATGTTAGTACATACATACAATCTGTATTCGTTATTAAGTATATCAAACACCATATTTTTTAATTACACTCAAAGCGTATGCTAAATATTTGAAGTTCGAATTTCTGTTTCTTTTTTTTTCAGAGACGGAAAGTTGGCGGGTTTTTTCCTTCGCCGCCACCACCGCCTTGGTAAACACGTAAAGCCGTTGGTATTGCACTTAATCTCTCTCCGGCCGTCAAACTATGAGAATGAGGGGGTAGAAGTGCACCTGAGTTTGCACGCACGCACTCGTGCACTATAATTCTGCCCAGCGTAGATAGCTAGTCTCTGAGCGAAATTTGGTCTCGAGGTCATTATTATTACTCGCCTTTATGGCACACAGCTTTTCAAAGATGGCGTTATAATAGACTCGTTAAGGCAAGTCATAAAATGCCCAGGTCGTTACGATCACGTTTAGTAGAGGGATTGGTACTGGCATTGCCACTTCCTCTACTATCCCTTATCATGAAAAATACTTTTTAACAACAGTAGAGGTTCATGCCTAATCATGGACTTTCAAAGGCTAATAAATAAGAAAGCAATTTTATGGGTTTAAATCAAGTGAAATTCTGGTCAGTTATTATCGTATACAAACATAACGCAGTCACCTGTAAGTTAAGCCGAACCTTCATTCGCTAGTTACTGCAATTAAAGCTTTCCATTTTTCCCGTTGGGAGGATACAGCAACAATGCTTTTAGTGAAAACTCACCTTTCTGTTTCGGGTGCAAAGTTGTAAGTTTAGGGTCTTTATGACCTGACATTAATACTAGAACTTTACATTGTATTTTTGTTGAAAGGAACATTAGGGTTAACAGGAATGTAAATGGTCAGCCGCTAAATTATGCTAAGCTTAAATAATGTGTTACTTTGTGGTTTAGTTGTGTAAATCTGAGATTTTGGATGTTAATGCATTGACTAACAAGTATTTACCGTTACCTTTACAGCCTGCTAAAGTTCACTGTTGAACATAGGCCTCTCCTATAGATTGCTTCAAAGAGGAAACACTTTGTTTATTTGCCATAGTTGTGCGCTTGGCAAACGGGTTCACGAACGCGGTTTTTATTTTTAGTCGTTATTAGGAAGACGCTGCTGTCCATATCCTGATTGGTTTCCCTCTGTCGCATCTTACGACACCTGTAGGATGATATGGGGTAGTGAATATTCTTACACTATCACTACACGATATTTTGAAACAAGTATTAGTGAGTTAAGTTATAGTATTTCGTGCGGAATATGCACGTGCCATCCTGCGCGTTGTAGATATTCATTTTAAATATCATTTCAAAGCAAACATCTGGACGCTCCGCACGGACGCTTCGCAGTTCAGAGCTAGTTTGCAACTAGCGTAAGAGACTTCATTTCATTCCGTACGTGCACAAAAAGCTCTTGCTGTGTAGTAGCGGTGTAAGAATGTCCATTGCCTCATATAGTTCCGTGGGTGTTGTAAAAGATGACGGAGGGAAAAATTTAGGGGAAAGGCAGTAGCGTGTTCTTAATAAAAATCGGAAATTAAACAACCCGCCTGTCGCGTGGCAACTACGGAAAATATTTCCCTTACGAGTACGAGTATGAGGCAATCTTAGGGGAAATCTATTATCAGTAGTAGACTTTGATAGGCTTTAATAAACGAATGAATGGTCATGAAAGTCGTAAGCATGTGCCGAAAATATCTTTTATATTTTTATCTTTACTATATTATAAAACAGAAGTGTTTATTTGCTTTTTTGTTTGTTTAAATACGCTAATCTCTGGAACTACCAGCCCGATTTGCAAAATTCTTTTTGTACATTATATCCAGATTCATGAGAAATAGTATAGGCCAACATTAGGCTACACCTCACAGCTAGCCTTAAATATTGATTTTTGTTAAGCAAGTCAAAAGAAAAAGCGCCTCCGAAATGCTTTTACGCGTGTGCTGGCGTAATGGTTAATGATATATGAATACAATGTTCTACAAAAATATAGACCTTTACTTTATATATAAAAGGTCTGCGGCATCATTTGCCTATACTATTATACATAAGTTACAATAAGGTATTTTGTTACAAAAAATTATTGATAATTAAGAAGTGATTTATGATCGTTATTATTAGGCATGCTATATTAATCCTTACGAAAAGAAGTTACTATATCATCAAGACAATTTTATGGAAATATATTTTGGTCCTTATAGCATGTTATTTGGACGCGTAGTTTAAGAGATAATGCAAAAATTAAATAATTCAACACTTGGCTCGGCACGCGAACGACGCATATATAACTTAATTGACCGATAAGAACCGAGAAAAACCATATATCATACATATAAGCGTAAGTGAGGTGTTCACGAGCGAGACATTTACCACGTGCTCAGTGGTGAAGGAAAACATCGTGGGGAAATCTGCATGTCTGAGAAATAAAAAAAAAAGATTTCGAAGACATGTGAAGTCGGATTGCGGCTGCCCGCAATCAAGTTGGCCGCATTTTCAACTGCATCTTGTGGTCAGCCGGACGGCTAGCCGCATTGCGGTTATACGCGTAGTACGTATTAGAACTTAAGCCTAAGGGTGCGTACAGATTAAGTAACATGTTGTGTAACTTTTCTTTTATAACACGCCCACATTATGTAACATTGTTTTTCAACATTGCAACATACAACAATACTGTACACATTAGAATAGCAATGCAATATAACAGTGTTATATGACATTGTCGTAATACATTGTAGTTTGTCGTTTTGCCGTTCGAGTTATATAACACGTTTTATAACGTTCATCCTCCACATAACTGAAACATGTTATATAACATGTTATGTTATATAATGTGTACGCACCGTAAGACTAAAATTAATAGCTACTTTTTATAATAATATGCATGATATGTAATGTAACACTGAAAACAAATAATACATCCTAGATACCACACAATTTTGTTTGTCATACAAGATTCACGCACTCATATATGCAATGTGCGTCCTGATGCTATATATTGACGCTGGTTGTCGGACCCTGATGTGTTTGTGTGTGTGTAAAACAGCACATTCACACATTGCCAGAGTAACAATACCTCCGTAATTTTTCAAGTCCATGTTTTGAAATAAATGTTTAAAAAATTCGCAAGTCTCTACACATTAAAAGCGGAGACATCAGATTTTGGTCTTGCCATTAAAAACCTTATCTTATACGTAGTAGAGCCATGCTGCAGCTATATAAGTAGTATAGTCGTAGCACGAATGTGTCGGCTCGACCGTGCAGGGACCACCCCTTTTTTGTCACCCTATCCTATAAAATAATAAAAATGTAGGTGGCTCAGGATTACGCTTTGTGGCATTCCGTGGGGAAGGCCTGTGTTCAGAAGTGGACTTGTGAAGGGCTGTAAAGATGATGATGATGACGGGGATATAACTTTTGCATACATGTCCCATTATGATGTATTAATAAACAAAAGTGAGTTAATAAATATGTTTATTTATTTAATATACAGATTTTATATGTAATGGCACAACATATCTTACATTCTATAATTTACAAGCTATAGTCAGTTGTAACCCAGCCTTACAACTGACAGTACATATACTTGAGAGTATTAAATAAAATAAAACAATAGGTAACAATTTCATTACACCAATATATCTTTAATTAAATTCATGATTAAAATTAAGAACGTCAGTCCAATCGATTAATTAATTCTTCTATTCATTTAGTTTTCTTCTGATGCTTGCCTCTGAAATCCAAAATAATAGCATATATATTATATCATGAAATAGCCCAACGCATTAGTAAGCTAAATTGGCAATGGTCTGACCATATAGCTCGAAGAACCGACAACCGATTGGGAAGAAAGGTTCTTGAGCGGTCCCTCACTAGATATATAGTGTCGACCTGGTAAGATACGCGGGAAGTCGATGGGTGCGGACGGTTCAGGGGAAGGCATGTGTTCAGCATTGGACTTGTGAAGTTGTAATGGTGATGATGATGATTAGTACATCGTTTATGAACGTGACTTATTTGATAATCCTGTGCTTAAGAAATCTAACTTAAATACAGGGACCTGTATTATATACCCAGGCCAATAAATAAAAAAAGACAGAACACTATGAAGATTTCAAGTGACGCCAAAACCATGCTCATCGTATTGTAAGAACACACACTCAAACACAAATATGCATCTCAAATCGTTAGTTACTATTGTGGAAGTGATAGAGCTACACTGCAGCCATACTATAGTTGGAACACGAATGTGTCGACTCGACCGGGGGAAATACCACGTTCTCATTTCTGTGAGAGCCTTGAGAGCGTGGTCCTTTCCTAGTATTCTTACCAGTTGTATTCTTTTATCAGCGGGAAATAGCAGCTTAATGCTAATTTCGACTGGAAACGAGGCATTCCATCTTAGTCCTCTGGGGTGACAACGCATCATCATCATCATCGTCATCATCATTACAGCCTTTCATAAGTCCACTGTTGAACATAGGCCACTGTTGAACATAGCTGACAACACATAATTCTATTGAATCCCACATTATCCTATTAGGCTTATAGGATTCGTGTGATGTTTTTTCTTAACACCATATGTAAAATGTTGATTTTTATTTGAAAAATAAAATTACAATGATTTTTTTCAATGAAGCAAATATTACAGTATTACCGTTATCGTTACAGCCTATCAAAAGTCTACTGTTGAACAAAGACCTCGCCGTTGAAGAAATATTTTCTATAGTTGCCACACTTGGCAGGCCAAGTGGATGGCATTGTCAACCGCAGTTTTTTTAATATTTAGTTCTTCTCAGGAAATTGATGCTGTTCGTCTCTTGGTTTGTTTCCCTTATGGCTTGGTTTGTTTCACTCATGACACCCAAGGGACGACATGGGATATTGATATTCTTATGCTGCCACTACACGGTAGTTACATATGCATACCATCAAGAAGTTACCTACCATACAGCACCGCCTGCTAAGTAAATAACAGTACCTCTTTAAAGACGTGACTCAATTCACTTACGTGACTTAAAAATATTGATTATAGTGCCACCAGGAAGTCACCTACCATACAGCATCGCCTGCTAAGCAAATATTAGCACTTCTCCAAAGAAGTGACTCAATTTATTTACCTGACTTAAGAATATTCAACATAGTATAAAACCCAGGGTTTAATTGTTAATATAACCCAATTGTAATTAAGTTAGTTTGTGAGTTAGGTAGTCCATTATTCATGTGTACTTACATTGTCACAGTAGTTAAGTTAACTTGTAATTTAGAAAATAAAAGTAATATAAGGCAAAGTTTTCGTCTACTTCCACTTCAACCATTCCTAAGCTGCCGCAAACGTAAGTCAGTCAAAAGCAAATATTACGAACTATAAACATTTAGTTAATTTCTATTCACTGAACCAATGAGCTTTGACTCAACGAAAAAAGATCGAAGAAAAAGGCGACTGTAAATCTGTATGGAGCCTGTTTGAAGTTGATTGCAGGTATATATTGGCTGCTGTAGTCACTTACCATCTGGTGGCCTAGTTCGTTTATCGCTTAATTTTTTGTGTATGTAAACCCTTTTTGTAAGGGAGCAAGGAATTGAATCTCCTTAATACAGGCTATTTTATAGTTTAGCAAGGAGAACAAAAAGTTACCCTCACTAGTGTTTTCACCTGTTATATTATTTCATGTAAGACATTTTTCTGTATTTATTACAAGTTTAAAGTTTAATAAAGTTTATTTTTTCTACCGACTTCAAAAGAGAGGAGTTACTCAATTCGACTGTATGTTCTTTTTTATGTGTTACCTCATAAATTTTTTCCAGGTGAACCTATTACGATGATCTTTTTTATTTGAAAGTTGGTTCTTTTTATTTAGTCCCATATAAATTACATCGAGGTCTGAGTAGTAGTTTTTGAGTTATTCTTAATCATTTACATTGAAGTTGGTTGTACAAAAGTTTTAATTTTTAATAATTATAAAGGAGTCACTTGATGTATCTTCATGCCGTTTTCATAATCAAGTTTTCGTATATAATACATCCATATCATGTTAGTATATTAGAGAAAGGTTAGCATTTCGTAAGCCAGTGACGGAACTAGTCGAAGTAAAATTATGAACTCACCATCAATTGCCAGATCCTCATATTTGTAAGCACATTATCATCCAACATCGGTTTCGCTTCAAGATTTCTTGATCTCAGCCCTACTGGTGGCTCTTCATTATCATACCTGAAAAGGTTAACATTCAAAAATTAAATCTATCTATCTAATCTTAATAAGCTATAATAACATTCAATCAGTCAAATAACCTATAATAGCTTCTATTAAGGCATAATTAACCTGTTGTCTGCCTGTCTGTCTTCTTGTCTAACATGGCATGGCTGAATTGATTGTGAAGAAACTTTATGAACAGAATAGAGAGCATTACCAGACAGGAAGCATCTAAATATTTATTTATTGGGTCTACCAGCGATTTTACATAATATTACACACATTTCTTAAAGTATTTACATGCACAAGGTATGTAAATTAGTTTATAGGTAAACACTACTATTTTTGTTAATCTAAGCTATACCTATTTCATGCAAAAAAAATTGAGAAAAAATCGAAAAGTAGATAGTAAAAATGGTCTTGGATTATCTTAAATCTAATCTAAAAAAGGCCACTTTTGCGATGGCAACGGTTGCTGGTTTGTATTATGCCGCGTGGAAGCGGCGGAAGGAAATCCATCACCCTATTATTACGTCTATATAGGTCTCGTGAAGTCTCAGACTGGGGGCGAATAAATCTAGTTCAGTTTAATCCCCAGAAGACACAAAACACAAAACAGGTTGCGCGTTTACCGCTTAAAAGAATCCCTTTGTCGTATCTCCTCAGTTTCAAGGCACTCCCCTTGTTGCCTCAGCCAGTATCGGAATCCTCGGTGTCATCATATTGAGTGACGTGCAGTTTCGTGGTCACTTGGAAGAGAAGGCCAAATTGGCCTCTAAAAAGCTTGGCGTGCTCAGCAGAGCGGGACAGTATTTAATTATAGCACACTGCTTGCAACTTTACAAGGCACAGGTTTGGCACCATGGAATACTGTTCCCATCTCTGGGCAGAGGCTCCCTAGTGCTTCCCTTCCACTTAACCGCATCCAGCACAGAGCGGTTCGAATCGTCGACGACCGAGTTCTTTCCGATCGCCTTGACTCACTGGCACTGCGTAGAAATGTTGCATCTCTTTATGTATTTTATCGCATCTATCACGGAGAGTGCTCTGAGGAATAGTTCGGATTAATTCCAGCCGCTCAATTTCACCATCGCACATCGCGACGAAACTCGCGATACAATTCATACCATCTGCAAGATTGGCGGTCCACCACTGTGCGATTTAGAAGAACTTTTCTTCTTCGCACAACTTCCTTGTGGAATCAATTACCACCAGCGATTTTTCCGGACCGATATGACTTAAATACCCTCAAGAAAAGAGCCTACTCCTTTTCAAATGGCCCGCAACGCATCTGCGATTCCCCTGGTGTTGCAGTTGTTCATGGGCGGCGGTAGTCACTTACCATCAGGTGAGCCGTATGCTCGATTTTTTTATAAGATAGGGTGACAAACGAGCACACAGTCCACCTGATGGTAATTGATTGCTGTGGCCCATAGACATCTACATCTATCATCGATTACAAATCAAAATGCAGATGTGTTGTCACCCATGAGGACTAAGATGGAATTCATCTTTTCCAGTAAAAAGGGTCTCCGGTTCTCTACATTCACCATACGAAACACAGCAGCATTAAGCTGCTATTTTACGCTGGCATCCTGCGAGAGCGTGGTCCTTCTCCGGTCGAGCCGACCCATTCGTGCTACAACTATACTACTAATATAGCTGCAGCATGGCTCTACCACGTTAAAATTTGCCAAAAAATAAATTTGCGTTTGCCCCCTCTCCTATAAAAAAGTCTGCTGCTGCGATCGTCAATCCGTCTGCCAAGCATGAAGTAAAAGGCAAATCTTCCCTGAAACGGAAAAGGCCCAAATCCAGAGACATTTGTATTGATGAAGTAAAATCATCATCATAAGGAAATTTTATTTACCTCATTTTCAACCGACTTTAAAAAAGGAGGAGGATTCTCAATTCGACTGTATTTTATAATGTGTTACCTCGGATTTTTTTTCTAGGTTAACCTATTTCGATGATTTTTATTTGATAGCTGGTGCTTCTTATGTGGCCCATTTATGTTTGATCAGCGACCACATTGGCGATGTTCTCATTTTATTTATATTGAAGTCGGTTACACAACGGTAACCGGTCGGTTATATACGTGGTAGAGCCATGCTGCAGCTATATTATGGTTAGCACGAATGGGTCGGCTCGACCGGGGAAGGACCACGCTCTCACAGAAAACCAGCGTAAAATAGCAGCTTAACGCTGCTGTGTTTCGTTTGGTGAGTGTAGAGAACCGGAGACCCTTTTTACTGGAAACGAGGCATTCCATCTTAGTCCTCACGGGTGACAACGCATCTGCATTTTGATTCTTAATCGAAGATAGATGTAGATGTCTATGGGCCACAGCAACCACTTACCATCAGGTGGACTGTGTGCTCGTTTGTCACCCTTATCCTATAAAAAAAACACAACATTTTTATTTTTACCAATAGTTTAATGCCGATTTGGGTCATATTTTTTCTGAATTCTGTTGGAACATATAGTCGGAAGAAATTTATTCTATAGCGTCTCATTTTAGTGTATGAACTAATTCAAAGGGACATCATCATCATCATCATCACTTCAGCCGTTCACAAGTCCAATGCTGAACATAGGCCTCCCCCAATGAATGCCACAAATCACGGTCCTGAGCCACCTGCATCTATCGACTTCCTGCACGTCTTACCAGTAAGACATGAAGGAAACACATAACCTTCGGATTAGTAAGCTGAAGTGGCAATAGGCCTGCCATATAGCTCGAAGAACCAACAACCGATGGGGAAAAAAGGTTCACGAGTGACAGTCTCGTACGGGTAGGCGAAGTGTAGGGCGAACTCTACTTCAGATCATAACGTTGGTGTCGTAAAAGGCGACAGAGAGAAACAAACCAGTAAATGGGCAGCAGCGTCTTCCTCCTAACAACTAGAAAATAAAAAAAATGCGGTTGCCAACATGCCTGTCAAATATGGCAAATATCCCCATTATGAGACAACTCAGAGGAGGCAGTGGAGGATTGATGGAATTATATAGATAATGTTTTGGGTTGGTTTTTTTATAGGATAAGGGTGACAAACGAGCACACAGTCCACCTTATGGTAAGTGGTTGCTGCGGCCCATAGACATCTACATCTATCCTCTATTACAAATCAAAATATAGATGCGTTGCCACCCGTGTGGACTAAGCTGGAATGCCTCATTTCCAGTACTCTCAGTAAGGGTCTCCGGTTCTCTACACCCATCACACGAAACACAGCAGCGTTGAGCTGCTATTTTATGCTGGTATTCTGCGAGAGCGTGGTCCTTCCCCGGTCGATTATATGCGAGATGATCCTTCTTCGGTATAGTGGATCCAATCGTAATATAGTTAGATTTATTATTTATTAATATTTTTTTCGAATGTTAATTGCATCGAAAACAGCGACACATAAAAGTAAAAAATTGAAACTGCATTTTGTAAAGAACCTTTCACTTACATTAGGTTGTTTACCGAGGACACATCGTTAGCTACGTCCATTCGGAAGATGTCGTTAGCGTCGTCGCTCTTGGCTAATTCGTGGCGAGCTCGGTTCTAAAAAGTATTCAAATTAAAAAATACAGATGGCGTTGTTCTCATTTTAATTTTATTAAACTGGAGTTACAATCGAATTATGGTCCACTTGATGGTAAGAGCTACCGAAATACATAGATACTTGCAGCCAACGCAAAGAAGGTGTTGTTTTTTCTTACCTTCTTGGTCCCCACTGGGAACTAAGAAGGAAGGAAGACCTTACAGCCTGATTATACTAACTCTCTGAAGGGCTCATTGCTTTTTGACGCCAGAAATATGTATATGAGAGGGTGTTACCCTCCCAGATAGACCTCTAGGCAGAAAAGGAGTTGTACCACCTAGTCAAGTTTAAGCATTCTAGATTCTTACTAAGGTTTCGATTAATAAAGAACTTTCGTGATAATTAACATTTAATAAAAATGCGTGAGTGTAGTGGAACACTCGGTTGGAACGAAGTTCCTTGCGTAGTATATTATTATTGATAAACGTAGGTATTATATTATTGATTAACAAATACAAATAAATGAATTACTAGCGTCTATTAAAATGAAGCGTCATTTGAAATAAAATAATATTTCTTTCATGGAAAGATAAGAAAAAGTGCGAGGGAGATGGATATAATTCCATCTCACTTCCTTATTTCGCCGCCAAGGCCACCTACACTATGACACAAGGGGTAATGACGAAAAAGTCTTATACTTTTTGCGGCCTAGCTCCCATCCGTAAAACCTGTACCGTCCTATAAGGAATTTCGTTCCAAAAACTAAATGGACTTAAAAATTTACCAAATCTGAGTTGACGGTCATATGGCGCAGGATCTTGGTTAAGTACCAGTCGGGAGCACTGGAAGGTGATTTGTCAGAGCGCTTTCCGTGAGCTGAAATGAATTCAAAGATTCTACTATATATTTTTAATAATTTAAATTAAGATTAAGTCCGTCTCATTACAAAAAGTAGCTTATAATAATTAGGCTCAAAAGAAAATTTCATATTTTGTTAAGACTTCGTCGCCGCAGCTAAGGAACCTTTTTTGTAAAAGAGATTTAAACCAGTATAAGCTCAAGACTATGAATTACTTTTTGTAATTAGACGGTTTTAGTTTCGAATGTGACAATTTAGACGGAACATTGACGATCGCGTGTAGCCGCCTAACGCTTTGTCCTAACCGATAAGTTGATCGCAATAAAATGATATGAATGATAATGATTTTTTGTTATATAAGGGTGACAAACCAGCACAGAGTCCACATGATAGTAAGTATATACTGTGGCCCATAGACATCTGGATCTGTCTTCGATTAAAAATCAAAATTCAAATGCGTTGTCATCCATGACGAATAAGGTGGAATGCCTCGTTTTTAGTGAAAAAAAAATCTTCGGGTCTCTACACTCATCACACTAAACACATCAGCATTAAGCTGCTTTTACGCTCGTATTCTGTGAGAGCGTAATCCTTCTCCGGTCGAGCCGGCCCATTCGTGCTACAACCATACTACGGTACGTGTTATTTTTTTTTCTATAGCATAAGGGTGACAAACGAGCAGACAGTCCACCTGACGGTAAGTGTTTGCTGCGGCCCATAGACATCTACATCTATTCTCTATTACAAATCAAAATGCAGATGCGTTGTCACTCGTGAGGACTAAGATGTAATGCCTCATTTCCAGTAAAAAGGGCCTCCGGCTACCTGCACTCACCAAGCGAAGCGCAGAAGTAGACCTCTACTTCACGCTGGTATTCTGTGAGGTCGTGGTACCACCCCGGTTCGAGCCGGCCCATCCGTGCGACAATATGTTATATTATTACTATATTTATATATATATATATATATATATATAATGTTATATTATTTGTCTCATGTTGATCAGTGGCGTAGTATGTTTCTGCCGCCCGCGACCGATAGAGTCGAAAATGCCGCCTTTTACACACTCCCCCCATTTTCACAAATCAGTTAAAGTCTTGTACAGTTCATTTAAAAATGAATACTTGCTTTATAAGATATGTTTATACCCTTAGCTCTTAGATCTGTCCGCACCACAGGGGACTGACTTTTATCTTTTTAACGTCTGTTAATGAAAAACAGACTAGATGCATCGGGTTACTTCATGACACCCTCTAACAAAACTCGTTGATCTGATCTAATAGATTTTGACGGTGCGAGACTTTTACGACCATGATGTGTATAGAAAGCTGATGTCCAGGAACGAACTTTTATGGGCTGACGACTGACACGCTCGGGATTTATCACGTGGCTTCGCGTTTCTATATAAATTGGTCGCTCGTTAATTACAGTAGTGCCGTGTTGCGACTGTTAAAAAGAACACCACGGCATGATTCACAACCAACAATTTTATCTCTAAAATTAAATGTAATTGTTAAGCCCCACACACAAAAGGTAATATGATATACATTCCCGCAAAGAATATAGTTCTGTGGATTGATCAGAACATCACACATTATGAAAAAATTGAAAATTGCAAACATTCGAAATTTACTGGATGTTTTCTGTCTAGAAATTATGAATATATTCATAAAACAATAATTCAATTTGCTTGTATTCTCATGTGCAATAATAAACAGAGTTTCTTTCCTTCTTAAAATGTCGATTGAATAAGTAATATTATAATGTAATGAAATTTTATCATGCGTGTTATTTAACACTTTCACTGTCCGGTTTCCAGACACAATAGTAAGACAATAGCAGTGACCTATATGTAGTGCACGGGACAGCGAAAGGGTTAAGTATCCTCAATTTCATATACTTAATTTTTGTTTATAATCCGATTGCAAAATAAACAAACCCAAAATATCCATAACTGTCATCTTAAAAATCAATCTAGCTCACATTTGCGACAACGTAAATTATTCTCGTTTTTATTTCATTAGGGAAAGGAACATTAATATTCATCCCCGTGTTTGGAGACGTGTTACACCTATATTTTTAATTACCGTCAGATTTAAATCCTTCGCCATTCAGCTCGGTCTCTACAGGGATTTCATATGGGCTTTACTTGGCAAAATTAGAAACACTTGCTTTGTTACAGCATGGTTGAACTTATCATAATTAGCAGTTTCAACTTTTTGAATTGATAGTGCTTACGTAAAAAAAATGAAAATTCTCCCTTTGAAAATTTCTAATTATGTGAATATTTGTAATAATTATGTCAAAGAATATGTATATTTTGAATTTTTCTTATATTTATATTTAGGTATAAAAAAAAAACTACTTTTTTATTATTTGAGACATAAATCACAGATGTATTCAAAATTCAAAATCTGCACTCAAAAACATTACACTTTCAAACTGTGCAGTTTTTTCAACAGATAACAATAAAAATAATCTTTAAAACTAACTTCAAGTATCAAGTCAATAATAATAAAAATCTTGATACAATGATTATTTAGATTCTGACTTGTTTGTAATTATTAGTTGAACGCACATATGTTTTATATTCAACTATTATTAGAAGAGGATTCCTAGTGTGCTGATAATGAAGCTACCGCTATATTGAGTGAAAATAATCTATCGATAAAATCAAATATCCATCAAAATGTAATACCATTATTACTAGTGCCATCGGTAGACTAGCATTACGTCGAGAAATTCACACAATGCATTTTATGTTGAATCAATAATTCCGATGAATTATCTATACTAATATAATAAAGCGGAAGAGTTTGTTTGTTTTTTGTTTGTTTAAACGCGCTAATCTCTGTAACTACCGGTCCGATTTCATTCTTTTTGTATATTATAGCCAGATTCATGTGGAATAGTATAGTCTATAAAGCATTAAGCTATATCACTCAGCAAGCCTTAAATATGAATATTTGTTAAGCAAGTCAGAAGAAAAAGCGCTCCCGAGAAGATTTATCCGCGTATGCTGGTGTTATGGTTAGGGATACGTAAATACGATGTTCTAGAAAAATATAGATCTTACTGCGTCTAAAAAAAAGTCCGCGATACCATATTTCTATTTCTTATACATAAGCCATAATTAGGTATTTTGTCACAAAAAAATATTGAAAACATAAAAGTGATTTATAAGCGTTATTATTAGGCATGGCCTATTTATCCTTAAGAACGAAAGTTACTTCATCATCAAAACAATTTTATAAAAATAAACTTTGTTCTTTATATATTGTTATTTGGACGCATAGTTTAAAAGATAATTTAAAATTAAAATAGTTCAATAATTGGCTGGGCGCGCGAACGACGCATAAACCCTAGCCGCCCGGTGAGAACAGTATTGAAAGCTTCTATAAGCGAGGTTATTTCAATCATTATAGCTAAAATAAATTAACAATTAATTGAGTAAGTTAAAGATAATGTAACATAAAAGCGATAGAAATTTATACCTATGTGAATATTGTGTAAATTGTGATTATTTTGGTATTAATACTAAACCCCGACCGTGGTAGGAATCGTAAATGCATTTCCAAATTAATTAAATGAAAATATAGAAACGTGGCAACCATAGACAAAAAGAAAAACATTAAAGTATAGATAATAATTTTTCTATATATATTGTATATATAATTTCTCTCAAAAAAAAATCAATTATACCTTCAAAAACACAAAATCGGGTATCTGAAAGCTTAACTAGAAGGACATGTGGTTATAGTGATCCTGGATTAAAATGAAAGCAATATTAACGATAGCTTGTGCCCGCTGAGGGCGATAATGCAGTCTATCGTATTTTATATCTATTGTAGTATCATGTGGATGAAAGCGAACGTTACCGTCGATTTAATAGTTTTTAATGATGTCAATATTTAAATGGATGACTGCTCCGTGATTACTAACATCAACGGTATTAAGTAGAATTATTTTTAGGGATTATCAGTTAAAATTTTTTTTATTAATTTTATGTATCTTTAGCGAAAAGTTTTTTTTTTCTATTTAGAAAATTTCCTACGTTCTTCGAACGAAAGCCTATTAATAAATTACTGGAAGGCATAGTGCTTGCCATAAGTTATGTCCAACTGCTGGGTACCGGCCTCTTCTCATTTTTGGAGGCTTATAAAACAAATGTACGCCGCGCTATTCTAGCGTGTTGACTTTATATCATGCTCTCAAAATATTTTATCAAGCTACCACGGCCCTTTATTATACATATGTAAGTGATGTTATTAGATGAACTGTAATGATTTCATTCTATCCCTTCATTAGTTTTGTCTGTTAGTAAAACAAAAATTAAATGTTGGTCCCTGTTTTAATTATCGAGTTAGGAATTGCAAAGTTATCCGTTCGCAAAATTAACTTTAGTACCAATGATTCAAAAATTTGTATTTTCATTGCCAGAACATTGATATGGGCCTTATTTCCGATATTTACGTTAAGTTATTGCAAATAATAGTTTGGGATCAGGAAAATTTCAAACTAAACGCGAATCAGTTCCAACTTTAAGTAAGTTTTTGAAGTGAGACCATGTTTATAATCGATGTGATTTGAAATTCGATGAAACGAAATAGCGGCACTAAAATAAACAAAAATATATATCTACAGGATTTAGCCTGCAAGAGAATGAGATAGAATAAAGAGAGAGACAGAGAAAGAATATGCAGTATACATTATACAGTGATTTTCTGAAGATAGGCCGCCCTATAGCCCTGACCTCGTCCCTTCGGATTTTTATTTATTTCATAAAATAAAAGAAAAACTTTGAGGAAAACGTTATAATATGGCCGCCGAGGAAGCAGTGGCTGCGTTTCAAATGCCGTTGAAGAGACCCCTAAGGACGAATGGGCAAAGTGCTTTCCTCAGTGGTTCCATCGGATGCAGCGACGTGTTGATGTAAATGGACACTATTTTGAAAAGATATAATAAAATAATTACTTGCTAGTTTGTTCAGTTTTTGATTTTCTAAGAACTTTCAGTGTCACCCTCGTATTTATATATTTAAGAATAACTTTCAGAAAAGTGAGTGGGGAAGGAATCAGTATAATAAGAGCTAATATTTCGAAATAATATGATAGGTTATCCAAGACAAGAAATGTAGGTTAATCCAAATCAGGCAAGTTTTCTTTTTTTTTTCTTTCTTCTTTACACGAGCCTCGCCCTGAGGATTTGCGTTAATTGTCGCACTTGGCGGTTCGATGACAGCAGTACCAGACGTTAAGATTTTGATGCTACTGCCTGTCACTGATCTGGGTTTTTTAGGTCTGATGTAAATGACATGGTTAATCATATTTTCATGGTCATCATGTGATGGGCATCATCTATCAAAAGTTATATGATCTTTTTGGCATAACTATTACGAGAACCACGGAATGAAATGAGTTTACGGATTCTTTTACGCTGCCACCACACGGAAGTAATTAAATCCGGGTAAGCTAAGGCTAAAAGTAATGGAAACAACACAGGGTTGATGAGAACCAGACTTGAAAATCCAGAACATGTAAAGTAAAACTTATTTTACTAATTTATTTTAAAATCATCGTTTTTTTGTACTCATGTCATAGTGTACCCATGTTTTTTTACAGTTACGGCTTTTAATTATAAGTATATTTTCCATAAAATTAGGTGCTGAAGTAAAGGTGTTTTTTATTTAAATATCCCCACGAATCAATATTTGAAAATAAGTTAAAATAAGCGTTTAGTTATTATTTTTTTCATTTAATGGCGAATATTTAGATAGTTAATAGATAAGTCAAATATATAAAATAAATTACCACCAATATTATCTGTTTTTTTTTTAAATATTTACTTACCTCCCCAACAAGAATGTCCATAGCTCAGACAGGATCCTGAAAAACATAATTAATTAAAAAAGTAAACAGTAATAGGAAGGCGTTAGTTATTATGAGATACTATGCACAAGGTATTGTAGTAGTAAGGAGGTTTTTATAATAATCCTAGCAAAAAGGCAGTGGCATATTTAGAACTATTAAAAACTGTGTCACCATAGGATATAATGAAAATTAGGTATGTTGTGTAAATTATAATCTAATTAACACAACTTGTTTATACAAGAGCAAACGAGCATGAGGCGCATCTGATGGTAAGTGACGCCCATGAACAACTGCAACACCATTGGAATTTCAGGTGTTTTGCCGACCTTTTAAAATAAGAGTAAGCGCTTTTCTTGAAGGTCCCTTAGTCGTATCGGTCCGGAAATATCGCTGGTGATAGTAGATTCGACAAGGAAGATGTGCGATGAAGATAATTTTCTGTCAATCGCACAGTGATGGTTAAAAAAAACAACAGTTGAGAGTTTCACCATTAGAATGCAATAGATCAAATTTGTGTTTTTTTTTTGTGAGATTCTTATTATAATGATTAACAATAACATTTTTTTTCTTAAATAGTTGCACAAATTTAAAACAAAAGCTTAAACTCGTTTAATTATAACAATGAAATTAGTTAAAAGAAAAAATAATACCCTAGGACTACAAAACATACATTAAGAAAAATACTCACTAAATTGCCGCTGTTTACAAGATATCAAGCGATCTCTTGTTACGGAGAATATCTACCTTAAATGAGATCATATACAGACATCTTTCGGATGATTTTTCATGATGCAGAGTTAAAACGAGCTCTACGTAACGAAAGTCTACAAACTCAATGACTGATAATAATTCATTAATTTTCGTACGAATACGTACCACGTTTTAATAAAAAATAGTGAATTTTAATATTTAAGGTTAATACCACTTGGAAGAAACATTTTATTTATAGAATACGGGTGACAAACGAGCACACAGTCCACCTGATGGTAAGTAGTTGCTGTGGTAAACAGATATCTTTATCCTCGATTAAGAATCAAAATGCAAATTCTTTATCACCCCTGGCGACTAAGATGGAATGCCTCGTTTCCAGTAAAAAGGGTCTGCAGTACTCTACACGCACCATACGGAACACAGCAGCGTTAAGCTGATATTTTACGCTGGTATTCTGTGAGAGCGTAATCCTTCCCCGGTCGAGCCGATCCATTCGTGCTGCAGTGTGGCTCTACCACATAAAACATAATGGAGGGATTAGTTTGTTCGTTCAGTGATAAAAGGTACGTGTCCGTCCACCTGAAGGTAAATAAATGGTATGGCATATACCAGGGCAGCAGAAAAGTTCGCGGCCTAGGTTACTTAACGATGGACTATTAGCTTGTTACTTATGTCACTAGTTGCAACACTCAGTAGTATTATAAAAGCAATCAATAATTAAGATTGCTTTCATAATTCAATTATTTCGGTTCTTCAGGATTCTGCCCCTTCATATACGATTTCAACAAGAACGACAGAGCTGTGAAGACGACCCACGGCCGGACCGCCCTGTAACGGTACTGACTGAAGAAAACGTCCGAAAAGTGAAAAAAGTCATTTTGGCCGACCTAAGAATTAAATTGTGGCAGATTGCTGAAGAACTGCAGATTAGCAAAGAACGAATCTCTTTCTACTGTCATATAATGAAAGCGAGAGGGCAACTTTAGGCATTTCCTAAATTGACGTTGATTTTTATGAATTAGGACTTACATTTACTTACACTTTGTTTCTAAATATTGACAACAAACATTTTTAATACTATGTGATAGATTGTAACGAAAGTGCATTAAAATGGCACGTATAAAACAATGCACCAGCCGCAGAACAGTCGTTAAGAGATACCCAAACGATCATAAATGCCCCATGCTTCGGGTGCATTAGACGGGAGTGTCTACTTAATGTGATCATGCTACTATCATAACCAATAAACAGACACAATGCAAACGGTTCACGATTAAGAATAACTCAGATTCAATCCATTAACTATAAACGATATTGGGTTTCTTAAAGATTGCTTCAAGATCACACAAAAATCTATAATATAAATATATTTGGTATGGAAAGCAACTGTTTACTATTTACATTTTGAGTTTGTTTTAGAAAAGAGTCACAACAGTGGATTGTTAATAAATATTATTGTCCTGTTTAAAAAATCGACGTCAAAATAAACGCTAAAGAGCCCTCTCCTTTCTATCTCTCTCTCTCTCTCTCTCTCTCTCTCTCTCTTTTTCTCTATACTAATTGACAAAATTTAGAGACATCCATTCATCCAGCCATCCATTACAGAATACGAGTATAAAAGTGCACTGTTGAAAATAGGCCGTTCCCCATAGACTTGCCATAGTGTCTGTACTTACAAGGCGGTTGGCTTCGTTGGCAACCGCAGTTTTATTTTATAACTTTTTTTGCTGTGGCAGCCCTGGTTATAAGTTGTAAAAGTAATTGGTCCCGATAAATTTTAATAATTTAAATATTGTAAATTCACCATATCCACCTCAATTTTATGTTATAGCTAATAATTACTGCCGCTTTGTATTTAATGTTTAAGAAAGTTGGTACATAAATATTATAACAACAATTTGGTGTTGGAACAAAAAGTGACAGGTAACGAACATTGTTTTAAAAATTATTGTAATCCTTATTTCATATCATTCCTTTTATAAATTAAAGATTTATTCTATTACTCGGGTTATTACATTCTTTGCGGGTTTCTTTTCGAATTGTTTTAACGATAATTTGATTTGAGACTTGTAAATAGAAAAAAAAACAACAACTTTACATTAGCTTACTCTGCTCCTTCTGTTTTCGATCTTTGTTTTCTTTTATTATTTATAATAAATAGTAAAATGAATACTCGCACCGCCAAGACGCGCCAGATGGAGAACCAACTCCAGCTTGCGCTCCAAGAACTTAAGGCGTCCAGGGAGCAGTGTGAACTGTTGCTTAAGGAAAGGGATGATAATGAAAGGGAAATAGTTAGCATTGCCAAAAATACACAATTGAAATGTGATATGGTTAAGCTAGATACAGAATACACAAGTGTTATAAAAGAAAGAGATCAGCTACAGGGAACGGTTAATGAGTTTGATCAATGCAGCAAGGAATATGAGGAAGCTCTCAGGTTAATTGCTGCATTGAAGTTACAGTTGAATGAGGCTAATGAGCAAATAACACAATTTAAAACATATATAGATAACCTTAAAGCCTCCCAGACTCAAAGCCTGTTCTCTGAGCTTGTGCAATGTGATACTTCAAGAATGTTACAGCAATCTGCAACAATAGACTTGACTGGTGACGACTCTTCCACTTCAGGAAATACAGTAAGGATTAATTGCAGTAAAACCAAATTGAAGAAGTATATAAAAGTTAATAAATACATAAGGAAAGTACAAAAATTAATAAGAAATAAGATTAATACCAAAAATTATGTTAATGTATGTAAAGAAAAGCAAGCATTGTTATATGAACTTAAGTTGTATTCAATTGAGGTGGATAACATAAAAAAATGTTATGAGACTGAAATAGAGTGCCTTAAATCAGAAATATTGTCACTTATGAACTCCCTTCAAACTGTGTCCAATAAATATAAATCAGCCCAAAATGAAATAAAAGAACACATATTGGCTATGGATAATCTGGTAAAGACTTGTAAATATAATGAGGAGCGGTTTGACTCCTTAGTTAAATATCAATGTGAGTGTCAGCGCTCAATGCCAGATTCTTCAAAGTCAGTGTGTGCTGATAATATTATACCACCACAAAAACTCTATGACAGTGCCATAGCAGAGGATATTAAAGTAATAAATAACTCAAATATTACAAAAAATAATATAATTGTTTATAGCGATGACATGGGAAAAAATCTAGGCATAACTTTAAATAACTCTTTAAAGGGACAAAAAGTTACAAATTGCTGCATGCCTGGAGCATCTTTTAGTGACATCCTAAATAAAATTATTGTTACTAAATTTTGCCCAAATAGTACAATAATAATTTTTGTTGGTAGAAGAGGCAGTGTCAACAACAAACAGTTATTAAGATATATTGAACAACTTAATAACTTAAATGTACACAAAATTGTCTTGTTCACACTGCCTTATATACAGGGATTGCCACAAGAAAATAATTTAAGACATAATTTAAATATACAAATGAATAATTTAATATGTAATAATAATTTAAATTTGACATATAATTCTAATGATAATAATCATAAATTTCATGTAATTGACATAAATAATTTAATAAAAAAGTTTTGGACAAAAGATAGGTATTACCTATCCAAATATAATTTAAGACTGATAGCAAATGTGCTATCTTATTATTTACTTTTTAACTCAGCCAAGTTTTTGGCTACCAAGACTGCTTTTATTGAGCATAATCATTTGACATTTAATTTGGAATCAGTTCCAACTAATTTAAATTAGTGAATGTGTAAAAATATTAATATACATTTGACATAATATATTGCTTTTATTATATTTTAATATATGCTGTAAATGGAATTGTAGCAAAGCATTTAAAAAATATAAAAAAGATCAGAGTTTCCTGCCAGTTCTTTCTTGAGGTCTTGTTTTTTGGAACCGGTGCAGTTTTAACGTTATCAACCAAGTTTTGTTTTACAAAAATTTGTGACTTTGAATTTGATGAAATAATACCTACGAGTATTATCTTCAAAAAGTTTAAAGGTGCTTAATAATCACTTGTAATAACAAAACAACAATAAATTAATGTCTAAAGAAACTTACTGACCAGACGCTAATACTTTGAAACTGAAAACAAAGGTATATTATTTTTGAATAAATGATTCCAAATTGATCTCGAAAATTTATAAGATGGTTAAGCAATTGTTATGGACCGTCGAAACGATGTGTTTAATTAGTGGAAAAGTCGTTGAGTTTTAATGAATATTAGAAAAATTTTATAATTTAAAGACCTCCCTTTAAATTAAGCAGAAAGTACTTGAAACTACATATTACTTATAA